ACCGCCCCCCGGTAAGGGGAAGAGGAAGGGTGGGGGGAGGAACTGAGCTTTCGGCCGGTTCATTTACCGGATGGGATGTGGCCTTGGTTTCAAGGGAGTTAAAACAGCTGAGAAGCGATTCAAAATGAAACTGAACTTTGCTCGAGTGGGAGGTGGCAAAACCGCTGGTAGCGTGTGCAGAGGAGATAATCTGGTTACAGATTAGCCCCGGCTGCCTTTTGCGTCCTGCTTTGCTCAGCGTGACTCTGTGCAAATAATTCCAAGCGTCCAAAGATTAATTTAGGAGTTTAAACTTCTCACGCCCCTGGCTCGGGTGGAGCGGGGCTTCTGGGGGAGAAATTCCCCTCGATTTGTGTTTAGGTTAGAGCTGTTTTAACGTGTTCACCCACCTCCAGTAAGTTCTAGAATAGCCATATCGTGTTCACCCACCTCCAATAAGTTCTAGAATAGCCGTAGAAACCTGAACCCCGGTTCCTGGGCTTGGATGAGCGGATGCCCTTACTGCAGTGTTTCTTGGGAATGGATGGAAAGTGAGACCTGACTACTGTGACCTGCTTTGTACCGCTCGGAACTGAGCTGCTTGGGGCCAGCCTGAGCTGTCGGGGTGCTGGGGTCGATCTCTGAGCCCTGGGGCTCGTGCCAGGACTCCCGCAGCGCACTGCCCTGCGCCCAGTCCTAGTCCAGGATGGTGCCTGGTGTGTGGAAGAGTCGTGTCTGTACATCCTCCCGAGAGGCAAAACTCTTTCCTTCTTGCAGGAGGATGTTCTATTATTTTGCATTTCATATTTTTTATGTGTCTGTTTTGGAGTTTTTCTTAATTTATCTTTTTTCTAGACACCGAGGGCTTCGGTTTCTTCCTTCTGGCCTTAGCTCTGCTGATGCGAAAGACCAGGGGTTCAGTTACCCTGGCCACATTCGCAGATGTGCTCCCTGAGCAAGCTTGGGAGGAATGTTCAGACCAGTGTGAGCTGGCCCTGTGGTATCTGAGGCTTCTGGAGGGCTGGTTACCTTCATGCAGAAAAGGAACTGGCTTCAGGAAGGCTTCCTGTTAGTTTGAGCAACAACAAGCAACGCCTTTCAGTTTCGTAAAGCCTTGTTCATGAGGGGCCACTACAGGTCAAAGTGGGGAATTTTGTTTGCAGTCACTAAAACCACATGAATCAAAAGGCGACACATCTGTCTGGCCGTAGGTGGCTGCTCTACGTCCTGGCTCGCGCCAGGCGGCAAACTGACGTCTGTGCTGTGGTTCTGGCGTGGTGGCGCTTTACAATTCAAGCCCTTGTGAGACAGGGGATTGTGACGTGCACGGAGACGGCAGCTGGGCCCGAGGTGGGGAGGGAGGAACTAGTAGTGGGTTACGGGCTGATTTTAGTCGCCCAGGCGAGCGTGAGCAGCAGAGCCCTCTGCAGAAGCACCACGTACTCACTCTCCATCGATTCTTACAGCTTTTGCATCTTGTCGCTGATGGCCTCGAGGGGTGTTTGGGGGGGTGTGTGCCCGCCTCTAACCCAGCATCTCTTACAGGGATGCTTCGCAAGCTGGAAATCCAGAAAGAGGAAGATCTGCAGTCAGTGAGTGATGTGGCTGCTCACATGTTCAGTGATGGAGTAACAAACTGGGGGCGAGTCGTGACGCTCATCTCGTTCGGCGCCTTTGTTGCGAAACACCTGAAAAGCATAAACCAGGAAAAGTGCATCAGCTCGCTGGCCGGGATCATCACGGATGCGCTTGTGTCGACGAAGCGCGAGTGGCTGATGAGCCAGGGAGGCTGGGTGAGTCACTGCCTGTCCCGAACACCGCGAGCTTTTTGGAAAAATCCAGTGTTTTCCTGTTTCCGTGACCTGCTCACTGACAACCCCATGTGTCAGCGAAGCACAGAGATGACTCACTGCTCCGGTTAAAACTGCAGCCTCAGACATCTCGCTGAAGTCCTGGGGTTTCATGAATTCCCTACAACAAGCTGCCTGAAGCAGTGTTGACCTAGAAAGGTGCCCCTGCCTGGGGCAGAGGGAGCAGCATTCCCAAAA